ACCTCTAGTAATATATTTACTGAGAAAAATGGTGACGTGTTCAATACTTATTTTACCCGCTGTATCAATAGAGATGCAGGATATATTGAAAATTTATCGTCATCACATTAACAGGCTGTGCAATAGTCATATCACAAAAAAAGGTGTAATATGTAATAAATGCATCTTGTCAGCATCAGTCTGGTAAACAGAATGGACCAGTGATGATCAAGAAAAAAATGTTGGACCACTGYAATGAGAAAAATTGCAGTTGGATTTAGGTTTAACTTTTATTTAACTTATTTAACTCTTTGGCAGCATCAAGAAAAGATAGAATAGAAATTGTAAATTAGTTTTTTTTCTCAAAACCCAGAGCAGAAAGACATCAACACTGCATACYTAAGTATTTATTAATTTAYGGCAAATCATATCAYCATCACAATATTAARCACTAGAWYTGCAGGYTTTCCTGCAGCTAAATATATAAGAAAAACAACAAAAAATGTTGCATTACAGGATGAACCTTAAATAAACTTTGGCTTTTTTTTTCTTTTTTGTTTTTGACACCTGACCTCAGTGGTTTTTACATTTTACGGCACTGATGGAATGGTGCAGTCTATGACCTGGACACAGATGTTTTATCAGTAGCTCCACACCGGTGGTCTGACCCGTCTTTAATAAGACTTTTCAGTCGGGCTGAGCTCAGAGGCCTCAGATCTGCTCTCCGTGTCAGTGTCCTGTCATGTGGGATGATCTGATAATGGGATAACAAGTCATAGTCTGCTCACACTTGAATGTCTGCTGCAAATGTGTGTGTGTGTGTGCATGTGTGTGCGTGTACGGGTAGTTTGTGACATATGAGGGTCATTTTAAGACAAAACAGCTACATACTGTATGAGGACCTAAGCGGAGTCCTTGTTTGGTTTAAATGCCATTGGTGGGTTGGGGGTTGGGTTTAGGACCAAGGTGTGAAATGAGTTTAGGTTAGTTTTAGGGTCAGGTGAGGGTAATCTTAGGGTAGGCGGTCAGGGCTAGGCTGTAGAAATTAATGGAAGTCAATGAAATGTCCCCATATAGGTGGACACAGCTGTGTGTGTGTGTGTGTGTGAGCAAGAGTTCATGTTTTATCCATCCTATAATTATCCTCCTGAGAACAAAAGCACAGTGTTGCATTGTGGAAACAGATTTTTAAAGCTGTTAGCAGCCACAGCATACAGCAGGGCTATTCGACTGGCGGCCCGCGGGCCACATCAGGCCACAGGTGACCAAAATTCAGCCCGCCAATCTGTTTATTAATCCCTTGAGCCCAAACTCCCTGTTTTTTATTTTAATTCCTGTAAGTTGTTTTAGTTAGACATAGACATGTGTGGTATCTACAGAAACGTCAGAATCACCACTTTTATTGCATATGGTTCTGTGTGTTGTATTTATGGTTAAATGCAGCAAAATAAACTCATTCAAAGGTAACAGATCTTTGTAATACTTGGTTTATTACCCCCGCCAAGGGCAAGTTAATGTTTTAATGTTTTCGGTCGTGAATGTCTGTCTGTCTGTCTGTCTGTCTGTCTGTCTGTCTGTCTGTCTGTCTGTCTGTCTGTCTGTCTGT